TTGCTTACGAGGGGTGCAACTGCTGGCACGGCGGCTGCGGCATTGTCGGCGGCGACGGGGCCCACCGTAGTGGCGGGATCAACAGCCTAGATATATGATTAGATTGAAGCTTCTAGTTGTAGCCGGGCCATTTGCTTACGGGAGGTGCAACTGCTGGCACACTGGCAGCTGCTTCTGGGGCCAGGGCTGAGACCGCTAATAGCGCAGCTGCGAGAGCTGGCGCCGCTGACACCAGCGCCTCTGCAGCCCTTACTACTGTTTCTGCTGCGCGGGCCAATTCGGTAGCCTCTTTCTCATTTTCTTCTAGTTCGTCTAATAGCTGTCTTGCCAACACCACATCCTCACTCATCACCTCTACTCTGTCCAATAGTGCGAGTAGTGATTTTGGATCCATCGTGTCAGGTGCTGTACGCATGCTTTGTCAGTTGCAGGTACCTCTTTGAAGGTGGTTCAATTGAAAGATGATGGAAGACTTACCGTTGGGTGTTTGTTGGTTGTCCATTGGTCGTTCGTTGGTTGCACAGGAAGAGTTCAGGAAGGGGATGGAAAACAGAAGAGATACTTCACTTCTTAAACGGGGCTAGCGCTAGCTCCCTCCACTGTTCGACAGCATCTTTAGCGTGTCGAAAGTCGTCATGTTGTCGAAGTATATCAGGTCGGAGATAATGTAATACAACAGACCTGGAATACTTCTTTCCGAGAGAGCTCGCACGAAGTTCTTCCATGGAGTTGTAGTAAGAGAAAGTTAAGCGAATATTTGTTTACTCGGTAAAGAATCACATTGGCTTGACGAAAATCAGTCATCAAGGTATAACCGAGAAGTATTAAGCATAGTAAGCATTGTATTTAGAATCCATATTAGCCAGCCCGTTGTGAATGTGAATTGCAGTTATGGTATAAGAATTTTTAATTAATGCTATCAAGCATCAGCGCTTCCCTTCCTTTATTTAAGCTCAAAGATAGCCGAGATCACCTCCTGAGATCAGACACCGGAAATTTTTGATTACCGAGTAGTACTCAAGATCACTACAGTTCACTACTCAAGATCATTACAGTTTACTACTCAAGCGAATCTCGGCTAATATTTTTGCCTCAGGAGTGTACAGTCTTGTCTTAGGCATCAGAACCTATTAATTTACAACCAAATCTACGTATAAATTGCGGGCAACTTAAAACGATCTGAGACCCAGAGCCCCTCGGTTAGGTACACCTTTAAAGCAGCTCTAATATTACTTACCTTCACGCCAACTTCGTATACTGCAACTTTTGCATACATACTTACTTACTTGTATATACGCTATACCGGCAAAATTTAAATCAAATCCCCATCATCCTTTACTTTCAGCCTTTCAGCCTTTCAGCCCTTCAACGCTCCTAAGTACTACCTCCTCCCCCTCCCTCTTTAAATATCCTAATTAATCAAATAAACAACCAACCAATTCAAACGCAAGCCACACCTCCAGAGGCCAAATACCAATCAATCCTGGCTCTAAACCGCGCCGGAATTAAGGCTCATTTAAAACCTTTTTTTTTACTGCTCCCTTTCCCCCCCCCCCTCTCTCTCGTTCGTTTTTTAGTATTTCAAAGTGACTTAACATCACCACCAGCTTGCAGAAATAAGTAATACGCCCCCCCTACCCCCTAATCCATAAATCAATCAATCTATATATATAGGTACACACAAAGTAGAATCCCCATGACTATCCATTCACTTACCCAAACCCCAATCTCCCTCCGCCTCCACAATATTCTCCTTCCCTAACCACTACCTCCTTCCACCTCATCTCCCTGAACTCGACGTACCGCGTATAGCTACCACCTCTACCCCTTCCTTCCCAACCAACCAAATCCTCTTACGTATCCACCCATCCACCCATCCACCCATCAATCAACAACATCAATAATCAATAAGGAACAAGTAAACAAACAACTCTCAATCAACAAAAAACCCCCAAGAAAGTGCTCATCCCATCCCATCCTATCCCATCCCATCCCATACCACACCATACCAAACCCAATCTCATCCCATCCACACCCTATCCAACGCCTATCTAAAACCACCACATGTAAGTATCGCATGCTCGTCGCTTGTAATGAATCAATTACTAGCTATATATGCGATTAGCTAATTGAGATACTGCACCAGCAGCAACGATTATATACATTTCAAGTTTAAGAAATGGGGTAGTGTAGAAGTAGGGAATGGCGTTGGCTTTTGGCAATAGTTAAGGGGACCATTTTTTTGGTAAGCTGGGAGATGGGAGATAGGATGGGAGATGGATGGATGGAGCTTGATACAAAGGATACGGTGATGTTTTACATACACAACTATATACACAGACCACAGTCATCACATACAAAACGGTAACAGATGAATGACCAGAGTCTGAATTCCTGTACAGCAGAGGACTCGAGTACCGGCCCGGCTAGATATCAACTGCCCGCCCGCCACCATGTATCTTCGCGCAAGTATTACACGTCACATGCATGTCCGTCTCCTCGGCACGCAGAATGTCTGTTTCGTACTCCACCAGGACCACGGCCGGCACCTTCCACGGCCCCTTCGGCGCCCGCATGCCGAGCCCATCCAGCCCCCGTTCCACCGCCCCCAGATCCCGACACGTATCGTGATCCACCACGGCCTCCGCCCCAAACCCCTTCACCGCGCCCGCCATCACCACCACCATCGTCTCCAAGCGCGCGTACCCGGCCCAGCACTGCCCCAGAGCAGCCACCTCGCGCTGCTTCGGCCGCCAGCTTGAGATGGGGACGGCCAGCCGCCGCACGGCCGCCACCTCGGCCGGGAACTGCCGGCGGAACAGCTCGCCGTAGAAGCGCGGGATCAGCGGCCGGTGCGGCGTCGCCAGCGAGATCGTGTCCAGCTCCACGTGCCACATCACGTCGCGGGTGTGGCCAAACTCGTCACGCAGCCGCCACGCGCGGTAGCCGTGCCGCACCGCGAAGTGGCGGGACTCGCGGCAGACCTGCAGGACCGGGACGGGTGCGAGGGTGGTGGCGGCGGCAAAGTGGACCCGGATGTCGAAGGCGGAGGCGCTGCGGGTGCGAGTGCGGGCGTCGTCATCGGAGGAGAAGGGCGGGTCGAGGAAGGAGTGGAAGAGAAAGGTGCCGGGCTGGTCTTTGGCAGCACATTGGATCTGGCACTGGAGAGGGATGAGGCGCGGCTCAATGAGTTTCTGCCAGATGAGCAAGCGCAGCTCGGGGGGGAGCGACGGGAAGAGGGCAAATGATTCCGACATGACGAGACTGGTAAGGGCTGGATTCTGGGACGGGATATGCGTAAGAAGTTTGGTGAAGGTCGATTGATGATCTTGAGCGAGGTTGAGGTAGCGTCTCTCACGAAGCGAGGTTGAGGATATGGCGGTGCACTTGTGGCTGATCTAGCGAAACTCCCGGGTAAGTTGTTTACATTCAGTCTGTGCGGTGTGGACGCCGGAGACTCGGTCAAGGATCGCAAAATGTCTAACAAACTGCCCACTTCCATACTGTAATCGTAAATTTACCTCCTTTCCTTCTTCCCAGCAACGAATTTGCCCACCAAGCATCTATTTCTAGCCTTCTATCTCTAAACTCCCATTTCCATCTCCATCTCCAACTTCATCTCCATCTCCATCTCCACCTCCATCCCCACCTCCATCTCTAAATCTAAATCTACAAAACCAAGTCCCCCCTCCCCCTCCATCCCTCTCCTCATCACTGCAGCAGCAACTTCTCCGTCACAAGACAGACAACCTTCAGAGCACAATCTTGCGTAAAGAAGGAATATATATTAACACTAAGTTTAAGGTCGCTAAATCGGAAGGTCGGCTGTCTAGCAGCACAAGCTCATCCATCTATCTGTACACTACTCGAGCTCCGCCGGTGCAGCCCCTCCTCCGCCCGATCCCAGACCATCCTTGGTCTACGGCAGACTCATAAAGAGATCCAGCATGGCCGGAAAATTCGGCGTTCCCAATCCCGTTACCGGATCCCACCCGGGCACGCTATCGAACCCCTTCGTCCCGCACCCCTGATTGCCTCCGTTTGTCACGTCATTCAGCACCCCCGGATTCGCGTACAGCACCGGATTCACAAAGCCCACCGGCGATTTCTTCACATTAATACGTTGCTCATTGATATTGTTCAACATCGCCGCGAACGTCGGGCAGCTGGCACTCGTGCCGAAAGACAAACTGAACTGGCCGTCGACAGCCGTGACATAGTTGACGCCGTTGGCCGAGACGTCGGGGAAGCCGCGGACCTGCTTGGAGTTGTTGAAGCGCTCGGCGCCATATGGGGGCGGGTAATTGGCGTAGTAGTCCGCCATGGCCTTCTCTTGGTAAGAGGGGAGTGCGAAGACATTGGAGAAGCCACCGCCGGAGAAGATGACCGTCTGGGAGGCGGATTCCGGGGTCCGCACGGTGGAGCCGTTGAGAATTTGGGTGGCGCCTACGGAAGTGACGTAGGGGCAGCCGCCGGGGAAGGAGGGGTTGAAGATGCCTTGGCTGCCATTGTTGTATGCGCCCGTGACCGGGTCGATGCATGCGCCGCCGTTGCCAGCAACACCAAAATCACCACTGGAGTAGAGAATCGAGACGCCTTGGAGGCCGAGTTTCATGTACTCCATGCATTGGCGGGTCTCGTACCTGGCGGAGAGATCGGCCTCGTTGGAGCCGTACGACGTCGAGATCACGTTGGTGGATTGGAAGGAGCCGCAGCTCTCTTCGCCTTGGAAGCCGCCCTTCTGGTTCGAAGGATATTGGCCGTCGATGCTGGGATCTTTGGAGTCGCCGCCATCAAAGCTGCAATAGCTTGCATCGATCGCGTCGAGGAAGTTGTTGAAGCTGCCGCCGGAAACGATATCACCGACCTGGTAGACGGTGACGCTCTGCGGAGCTACAAGAGCCATTGCAAATTCCAGGTCCAGAGCAGACTCGCCGTTGAAATTGAAACTCTGGTTGGTCTGTTGAACGATGGCTCCGTCAATGAGATTGACATTGGGTTGCGTAACGGTCAGGCCCGGTGTGAACTGCTTGAAGAACAAATCCAGATCGCTCTGGAGGAAGGCTTGCGGGGTACTACGGGGGAATTCAGAATTAGTCATGCAGTTCCCAATGACAGAGGGGAGCGTGAACCGGGGAAGGAGTTTCAAAGCCGATCGACGACGGGAGAGTCCCAAGATAAGGCAGAAAGATTTCGGAGGAGACCTACTACTCGACGACCCCAAGGGAGTTGTTTCTCATGGCTGTGGTACTCGGTGGCGCGTTGTAAAGCGCCTGCAAGCATTGGGGTGTGATCATTGTATCGCAGTTTTCCAAAGTCATCAGAGCGTTCTTGACGGTGGCTCCTTGCTTAGGGTTGGACGCGTCGTTCGGAGATCCCACGATCCCACGGTATGAACCGGCCTGCCGCTTCATCGGCTGCCGTTTGTTCAGCTCTCGGAGTGGAGGGGGTATCTCCGAGTGGTGTACCGTTCGTTTCGGGTTTCCCAATTGCTTGTCGAAGTGGACACTGGGCGTGACAATGTCAATGTGGTCGGTCAGATGAGCGGGAATGCTGTACTGCTTGCACGCGACGCTAGAATGGCACATGAGAGTCAGTAATCGCATGACCACGAGGAATTTTGTAGAGGATTGGGGGGAGGGGCCACAAAGGAGACGAGTATCCTGCAAGACGATGGGGGCTCCTGTTCTACTTACTGGTTGTGACCGGCTTCGTGCCTGTACAGGTGATACTCCGTCTTGAGCAGGTTCTCGGCTTCCTGCGTTGTGGCGTTGAATGTGATCCAATTCCGAGATTTGGACATCTTGACTCTTCTCAAATCAATGCCCGAGGCCGACAACCATTCCCGTACCGCATCCGTCGATTCCTGACTGGGCGCAAACATATCCGTAATCTTCTCCTTGGACCAGTGCTGACCATACAGCTTCGATTTCGGATGTGCCACCTCATTAATGAACTCTTCTGCTCGGTGCAGATTCTGTTGTGCCAGGCCGATCCGGATGGGCAGGACCGTCTGAGGAGATAAGCGAGAATGCCTCGACCATTTTAGCGGAGGGTTCCCACGCTTCTCGTGGATTACATGGCTCGATCGTGCCGTGGGAGACGCAGATGTAGCCACCACCAGGGCAGCAAATATCTGGATAATATATTCGAACCGCATTATTAATTAGATTTCTTTTCTATGCTAGGCCGGAGCATATGGCCATTGAACATTAGGGCGTCAACGATCCTATGTATGTACCGACGAAGAGAGCTGGGCACAAGCCAAGCGGCTATGCACCCCACGACAGTAATTGAAACGGTTGCCAGAGTGCAGTCAGCGAATGCGACGGCGGGAGTTAGCCATTGCCTTAGGAGCGTGGCCGGCGACACACTCCTTCGCAGCCTCAATGGCTAGATTTGCTTCATTTGATCCATTTTCAAACACCTTGGGTTTGTGAGGCTCGCAACAAGCTGTGCCATGTCCACGAGTAGGGACCACCTCGAGCACGATCGCTGTTTCAAAGGGGGTGGACAAGTTTTCGCTTCGCGCGGCCACGGGGATCATTGACATGCCGCCACGGCTTTTGCAAACAATCCCAGCGGCAGGCAATGCAGACAGGGCTGAAACGTTTCTCTGCCAAAAGTCCGTCGGATCCACGTGGGAAACAAACATCTGCCCGAAAGCCCAAGAAGCAAGGTTGCTGTTGCTGTCACGTGAACAAGAAGTTCAGATAGATACGAGTCGCTGAAACGCTACGATGCAACCCCACCGGATTTGAGGGTGGTGTACTTTTCCCACGTCTTCTTTTGGAGTGCGCGTTGCTCGTTGACAATCTTCCACAGTGCGTCATTCTCCGTCGCAAGGCGTTCATCTCCTCTTGAAGTTGACACTTGCGACGCGGGACCCGAGAAGCCCAGGATAGCCTTCTCGAGCACGTCGGAAGGGACACCTTCGTGAGAGGCACCACAGGCGCCGGCGCCGTGTAGGGACCCTAGCAACTGAGCGGTGTAGACGTAGCTACTCTCGCCCAGTTTGGGCTTGACAACGAATATTGGCTTGGTGTGCTTCTTGAGAGGGAAGACGGGCTGCATCAGAAGATTCGTCACGGGCGCATTCAAATCCGCTAGCTCGGCAGTGAAGGCACGCCGTGGGGTGTCCCACTGGAAGATCTTGCCGGACTCATGCCCTGACAACAGACAGGTGCCATCGTAGCTGAGACCCAGGCAGAGCACCGGACCCGATTCGGCGGGCGGCGGGGTCCATGGACTCTGCGTGACCTGCACCGGCGTACTCTGCAAGCTGTGGTCATAGAGCTGATTCCGCGTCGATTCGGCCGGAGAGAATTCGACGAGCTGCACCGAAGCATTCTCGAAGCCAATGAAGACGGCCCGGTCGCACGGGTCGAGGGCTAAACAGAGAGGCGTGGATGCGAGCAAAAACGTCCGAAGCAAATCTCCCGAGAGGTAGTCCCAGACAATAACGGTCTTGTCCCGACTGGCCGAAACACAGATGTTTGTCCGGCTGGCGCTGTGACCTACAACCAGGTTGGTGATGGCGGCTCGGTGGTTGGCGAGGGTGCGGAGTGGCTCGAACGTTTCGCTCGGAGACATGGCCAAGAGATGCGGAACTGACCAGACGTGGATGTTCGAGTCGTCGGAGCCGGTAATCAGGTGCGCCAGGTTCCCCGCCAGGCATGAAATTGGCTGGAGATGCGATGTGGGTGTCGAGACTTGCCGGCCTGTGCAGACCTGGGGTTTCCATCAGCAATTGTTCTGTTTCTGATTGCCATCCTGTTTCTCGTTCTCGCTTTCGCTCTCGCTCTCGGAGTAGTGGATGTTATGTATATAAGATAGGATCGAAGGGCTACCTACCTCCCAGAGGATGGCCCGTCCTTCGGCTGTGCCCACCACCACCACGCCGTCGCCGAGCAGCGTTAGGCTGTGGATGCGCTCTGGAAAGGCGATCAAGGCCTCCTGGGTGCCCTTCTCCCTCGCGTATACGTGGACGGCGGCCTTGTCGGCCTGCGCGGCAAAGATGTGGGTGGCATTGGCCGCGAGCCCGTTGACCTGGGTGGAGCTCTTCTTGAAGGCGGCCGTGATGGCGGCGATGGGGTGGAGGTCGTGGGCGTAAATGCCCACGTCTCTAGCGATGGCAGTAGTGGCGGATCTGGGCTGGGCCAGAACGGAGGTGAGGAAGCCTTCGGCCGGCATGGCTGACTGTCTGTGTCTGTGTCTGTGTCTGTGGTGGCGTCTGTACGTGGTGTATAGTCTGTGGTGTATGGTCTGTGATGTGGTATGGTCTGTGGTCTGTGGTCTGTGGTCGTCTGTCTGTGGGGGGTTAGATGTCTGTGGTACTGGATTGGGTTGACGTGACGTGAATGTGATTGATGATGGGATTGTCTCTTGTACAACGTGGAGCGGCGATTCGTCTTCCGGAGCTGGGCAGTGAGGGCGTGGGTGTAACTGTGCCGATCTGAATCTGAATGCAGAGGATCTTGCGATGCAATGCCATCCAGCATTCGATGCTGGGCAGCGGGATGAGAATGACAGTCAGGTTTTCCCTCCTCCGTAAGGCAAGGTCGATAAATGCACGGGTTTACGGAGTAATATAAATCCTGTCCGGCTTGGCTATTGATTGGCTATTGATTGGCTATTGCTTGGCTGTTGCTTGGCGTAGCTCGGCTCCAATCCAGTAATCCAAATACTCTTTTGCGCCGTCCGTGAGACTGCGATGTTGATGTTGGTGTTGATGTCAACAACCGATGTTGCTATCGACAATGTCCATCTGGCCGGACCTTTCTCCTTCCTTCCTACTTTCTCCTGTCCCTGCGTCTCACTTCCACTCCCTCTCTCCCTCCCCTTGCTTCCACCTATCTGTATCTGTTTTGCATGAGAGGCAATCATTCATCCCATCCACCAACCCCTTGCCTTGCCTTGCTCGCTTGCTTGCTTGACGCATATGGCATATGGCATATATCTATATCTGCCCCTTTTCTCCTACTCTTTGCCCGCGCGCTGGGATACGAAGTGATGCTTGTGCTCGTGCTCGTACCTGCACCCTGGTATTGACTCTGTATGCTTCTGCTGATGAGCTCGCGTGGCGTGGCGTGGCGTGGATCATCTCCTTACTCCCATGCCATACCAGACGGTCAAGGGATATCCCCTCGACGGGCCTTCAGCTTGGACGCAGATCCGATCGATCATCTGTACTACTACTTTATCCAGCTATCTACCCAGCTATCTACCCAGCTATCCACCCAGCTATCCACCTATCTACCTCTCTATCTATCTCAATGCGAAACGAGGTTATGACCAAAAGGGAAAGAAAAAGCAAACAAACCAAACTAAACAAAGCAAAGGACCAACGAGGAGAGATGATGATGAAGAAAAGAAAAGAAAAAGATAATGCATGATGTAATTGATAATGATCATCTCTCGTCCCTCGTGTCCCTCGTCTCTCTCGTCTCTCTCGTCCACTCTCCTCCACTCTCGTCCACTCTCATCCACTCTCCTCCACCCTCCTCCACCCTCCTCCGGTCCAGATCGCATATAGTTAGTCCCGTGGATAGCCTGCTGAGACACAGACACCTTTTCGTCCTCTCACAGCGACAAGAGTCCTCCGATCTGGAATGCACCCAGCGATCCACGAGCTTGCAGGCGCCGCGCAGAACTTATTATCATGCCCGCCGCACCTCATGATGTGCAGCGTCCCCATTGCCGGGAATTCTCCTTCTCCTCCTCCTCCTCCTCCTCCTCCTCCTCCTCCTCCTCCTCCTCCTTCTCTTCCTCATCCTCCTCCTCCTCGTCTTCCACTGGCTCCGGCTCTGGCTTCTACTCCTACTCCTACCCCCCCTCCCCCTCCCCCTTTCCCCTCTCCTCCTCCCCCTCCTCTTTATAGTGCATGTCCAGCCACCAACATGTTTTCCTACGACGTCGGCAACATGGCTCGCCCTCAACCGACGACGACAACAACAACCACCACCCTGAGGCGAGAACCATCACAACGTTCTTCGGTACATAGCATGAGAAGCCCCTTTCCCCTGTTGCTGTCCCCGGCCCTCCCAGCAGGATCAGCATCCAAATCCAGCAGCACATATCATCATCCCTCGACAAGTGCAAGTACAAGTCCACGTCCACGTCCCAGCCCGGATCACAGGGCGACCTCTGGGACCATGCCCATGCCCATGCCCATGCCGCTGCGCACATCCGAGCACAAACACGGCGTGACTCGCAGACCGTCTAACAACCACCTCGGCCTGAGCCTTCCACTCCCTGAGATTCAGAGGGTGCATCATCACCGCGACACACCCATATACAGCGAGCCGGGGGCGCCACTCCCTGGCCGAGCATACTATACAGACAATCGTGCCTGCTACAACTGCTCGCTCCTATCGGCGTCGGATTATGACAAGACGTGCTGCACCTTCCATGACGACGATCATCCGAAGAGGTCCCTGGCGACGGAGAAGCACGACGACGAGGTAAGAAAAACCCCCCTGTAAGAAAATCAGCAACAACAACAGCAGCAGCAACAACAACAACAACAACAACAACAACATCATCATCAAAACTCTTGCTCGAGCCACTGCATCACATTCTGACGTGCTCCAGTTCGCTAGTCAGTCCAACACCGTGGGTGGTAACAACATCTCACGCGTGTCCTACTTCAGCAATGTGACGGACATTCCGCGCAGCTCATGCCTCTCGTTCCAGTGCTCGGGCGAGCTGTTCCCCAAGGAGGGAGAATGGCTGAGCAGTTCCCTCCCCGACTCACCTAAACCGTCGCCAATCGGCCGCTCTTCTGGCGGAAGACCTCTAGAACACCACGTCGAAAGCTGGCTCAGCGATACGAGCGAACTGTACGTGGGATGCGATATTCTGGTATGCACTCTCTCTTCCTCTTCCTCCTTTATCCTCCTCCTGCCTCTCTCTTTCTCTCTCCCCAATCCCTCCCAGCCTTGCGAACTAGCGGACTGCGTCGCTAACCAGAACCAGGCCCGAGCGACGATTCTCTCCCCCGGCCGAGCCCAGGTCATCGAGGTCAACCGCAGTGACCTGCACCTGTCAGGAACTACCATCCCCCCGCGCGTCTCCTCCCTGAGCCCACCGCCCTCCTATCCCGGGGACGGCGACAGCTGGGCCTCTTGCTCCGACAGCTCGCCCGACACGCCATGCGGTGAATGGGAATTTGACGACAACCGCTTTTCACGTCAACAACAACCACGTGACCCCCCGCGCATCTCCCCCCGCGGCCGTCATCACGATCTTGCCATGGCGAGCCCGCCCATGTCGCCAATAGTTACCCTCGACCCCCCAGCTGCTGCTGCTTCTCGATTCTCGATCGTGGGCGCCGGAACCGGGAGGCACGTGATTGATGCCCCTCTCGCTTCGCGGTGGTCGCTCCAGTCTGCCGCGACCGCGCCTAAGTCCGACCTGGAAATTATTTCTGAGCTCGAAGCAGCCGTCTCGGGGTTTGCATCGACGATGCTCGGTCTTGACACGCCCTGCATCGCCACGATCCGTGTCCATCTCGCCCACTCCCGCTCTCCGCGAGCTTCTCAACAAGCCACCGAATGCCAGCAGGTCAAGAACTTCTCACGGCCCCGTCGCCCAGTACAGCTCACAACCTCGCGCAGCTCGCCCATGATGAGCACTGATACCATGCGGCGCGAGTCCATTCAATCATCGACCGCACCCATCGGCCCAACCAGCGATTGGCGCTCATGCTCCTCGTTCGGCTCTCTCCCTCCTGCCCAGTCACCGACACCGCCACCCACACCAGACCTCGAGGCGCTGCACCGAATATTTCCCGACAGCGCCTCGTTCGTCCGCCGAGCGCTCTACGCGCACATCCTCGCCTACACGTTCCTCGCCTCCTTTCCTGACCCTCCTGCTGCTAGCTCGCCGCCGGGATGGCGGAGGAGGGGATCGCCGTACTGGTCCAACTCGCGCAAATTATCCGCACAGCACACGTCGAAGTTTGCGAGCGACTCCACCATGCAGCTGCGGGCCGCGAGTCTGAAGGCCGGGCTGCGCAAGAGCATCTTCAGACTCATGACCATCATGGGCTCCGGTGCCGGGGGCGTCGATGTGCTGCTGCGGGCTGTGGTGGAAGTCGTCCGCACATCCGAGGTGCAGGCGTTCGCCTCGACGAGGAACGTAATTTAACGTAATAGCGCTTGCTATATGACATAGGAAGTTTGAGCACTGTTTATTATGTATATCTGTATTTTCTTTTCTTTTCTTTTCCTTCCTTATCGTTTCGCTCCGCTTTACATCAAGCCATCTTGCCTACATTATCGGCTCGTCTTTCTTCGTTCTTTCTTTCTTTTTTGATATCAAGTTGTCCGCCCAATCCGTCCGTCTGTCTTTGTCGGGGAGAGGGGACAAGCGAGTTTGTTTTTAGCGATACACCTGGCGGCCGTGTCGTTTCCGCACAATTTTTTATTATTCTTTTCATTTCTGGAAAATATCGCTGCGTATTTTTCTTCTTCAATATATTCATACTGTATTTAGCCTGGCGTTCGAGGCGCGGGCTTGGGATTTGGGGTTCGGAGCAGTGCTTGTGTTTAGATTTTGATAGAGTGTAAAGAACAGGGAGAAAAGGGGGAAGGAGGGCCGAGGGGGAAGGGCGGAGGAGAGAGCGATAGGATAATGTTTTAATCTATTTTGCTGGCTTCAGGACGTGGGTTGACGGGATACAATCGGTATTTATATACGTATATACACAATGTATTATACTATGATACTTTTATATACAGAATCTATGAAATTTTTAACGTGTGTTAATATGTGAATTGTTTTTTTTTAAAAAAAAAACCTTGATTGAAAAAATCTTGCCTCTTTTTTATCATAAGATGCAAAACTCAACTGGAAAATATATCATGATACGGAAACTCCGATTCGTTGAAGTCGTATCTCCTACGTCGTATATATTCTACAACTCGTTGGAACTTCTGGTCAAAGATCAACGTACGGCTGTTTGTTGATTGCACTCAGGGGTACTCGCTAAAGCTCAAGCCCCACAAATTACATAAGTACAGAACCTCAGGCGGCACCCACCTCAAAAAGCCCAGAAACCATCCTCACACCTCCGCCCTTTCAAAAATCACCACAACATGCGTCTCCGCCTCCCCATCCGCCGAATAATCTCCCTCCGCCCTCTCCGCCCGCCCAATGCTCCTCGTCCATTCACGCAAAACACCCTCCCGCCACGCTCCGCCCGCCCCCAGCTGCCCTTCCTCTCCTCGCCCACCCGCCGCCCACCGGCCCGCTTCCTGACCACAGAGCGCAAGGCCTGGCTCAAAGATGAGTTCTACAAGGCCGGCAAGTACACCATCGTGATCCAGACGGGTCTCTTCCTCTTCTCCGTCATCGTCTTCGGGCTCCAGCAGGAGTATCTGAACCACCGGTTCCCCAGCCCCGAGGAGTGGTCCTGGCTCACGCGGTTCGGTTGGCGGAACGCGAGGTCCGGCGAGGACGACGATAGGGGCGTGGGCATCGTCGATTGGGCGCTGACGGGCCGCACGTACCGCTGGATCCTCCAGCGGCTGGAGGACCCTGACATCGATGGCGCGGGGCTGAGGACTACGGACGAAGGGGGGATTTTGGTGGCGGGCATCGGCAAGATGGGCTACGACGTCACGGGGAAGTCGGAGCCGTGGAGGAGAGGGTACTATGAGTGCTTGATGGGCGCGGCGCGCGCTGCGGAGTATCTGGATGGGCATGTGCGGGACAAGACGAGGGGGATCGCGTTTCCGGCGAATGTGGTCATTGGGCCTTCGAATCCGAACCCGAGACCCGTGTCCCCCTTTTCGCATAGTGCGCCGAAGGAGGAGGACTGTGAAGAGGCGTTTGAGAAGCCCGAGGTGTATTATATGCGGATATTGACCACACAGGGCTTTACGGACAGGCAGAGGATCGATGCAGCATTGGCTTACGCGGTGTGGTTGGATTACAAGAACACTCCGCAGGCGGCGTGGGAGATGCATAAATGGGCAGTGGATATCGCGAATGCGAGCGCGCAGACACCGAAACCGATCATCGATCCTGAAACTGGAGTAATCAGGACTGACGCCGGGGCACCGAGTGCGAACATCCTGTCCGTGGCTACAGCTCTAGGGATCCACCATGCAGTAAACTCTAACCTCACGCTCGCCCTGCCGATATTTGTCTCTGTATTGCGGGCCAGGAGATCACTCCCAGAGGTTCGAGGAACGACGCGGGTGGCCCCAGCACCGGACACCGCAGAAGAAGAAACCCTGTACCAAAAGATCGCAGCTACGGCTCGCTCCATACTAATACCTCCCAAATTCCCGCCCCCACCCGACGACGGCACCGCTCCCCCGTTTCGCACACCCAAAGAGCGCTGCGAAGAGGCAGGCGTAATGACCTACATCGGGGAGATCCTCTACGCGTCCAAAGCCAGCAAGACGAGCCGCGAAGACGGCCTAGCCTGGACTCGGGAGGCCGTCGACCTCGCGGAAGAAGAACTGCGCGAGAAGAGCGTGGATGGGGACGCCCGGCGGATATGCAAAGAGTGTCTCGAGACCGGACTCGGCAATTGGATGGCGATGGTGAGCAAGTTGGCGAGAGAAGAGGAGGAAGGCAAAAAGACCGAGAAAAGGAAGAAGAGTGCAAGCGGATGGTTGGGTCTTGGGGGTGGCGAGGGCAAGGATACGGCTGGGCGGTGGGAGAGCGAGGAGAAGGTCGTTGTTGAGCGGCTGCGGAGGGCGAAGGATATTCTTGACGCTGAGACCGTGGGGCGGTAGACTGTATGAGTATAGATCAATAGGTATAGATTAAGTATAAGTCTAGGCAGTGTAGGTAGGGAGCTGTGTGCTCCGTCGTTGTCGTCGTCGTGGAATAATACCCCTTTTCATTTCGTCCATGATTGGTTTTGGTGTTTGCGTTTCACATCATGCTGTCCCGGAGGCAGGCGGTCAGGCTGGCTGGCAGGTAAGCAGGCGCTGTTCAGTACTGGATGATGCATTGAAATTCTACGTGCGTTCAATTCAAACTTTTGAAAACTTCGCTCGGATCCAGATCCGATACGAGATCTCTTTTCTCTTCGTCCAATTTCCCCGGGAGAGTTACATATCTCACGTCAAGAATGCGAGCGGGATGAGTAGGATGAGTGGGTGAGTGGGTGGGTGAGCGAAATGCGTATCTGGTAGGTAAGTAAGTACTTTGCGAGTTCCGAGTTTTGTACCTACTTCTTCTTAACTGTGGTAGATTGGTCTAAACCCATCTATCTATCCACTTATGCCACTTCCCGTCATGCAATGGATGACTGCATCTGTAGTAGCTGCACTCATCATCTTCCCGCCCGTCTGAAGCTTGCCAATTTGCAAACAGATCTATTCAGCCTCCCCAGTCTCCTCAGCCGCTTCAACCTCCTCAACCGCCGCACCCTCTCCTGGGTTCTTCTGCGCATCGGCAATCATAAATCTCAGAGCGTCCTGAGAGTTCTCGATCCGATCAGTCCAAGGCCCCACTCCGTTAGCCCACTCCCCCTTCTCCCATGCCGGCGCGTCAACCGGCTCCTCTTCTTCTTCCTCCTCACCCCCACCCCCAATCCGCGTGAACACTGGATTGCCATATGCTTCATCACCAGCAACAACCTTGAACCAATCCACCACCTGGGTCCTAGCCTTGATAAGCATAGTCTCGGAGTAGTATGGCTCGCCTGAGCTGAACACCGGGGCGCCGTAGGCGTCGACGTGGAACTTCTTGTCGCCCTTCTCGCCGCAGATCCACGTGCCGGCTGGGTCCTGACTCTGTACGTAGATGCGAGCACGGTATCGCATGAAGTCTGCGAAGTGCGGGTTCGTGATCTCGGAAGCGTGGAAGTAGGAAGCGAGGGCTGCAAAGGCGTCGATGCGTGGACCCCAGGTGGCGAAGTTGGCGTTCATGAAGGCAGAGGCCTGGACTGCGCCGTCTGAGACGCCAATGATGAACAGCCTAGAGTCTGGGGCTGTCATTGTCTTGATGACGGTGTTGAAGATGGTCTCGACGTGCTCGTAGGTGGTGGTCGAGCCGGGGATGCTGTTCCGGAGGGGGTTGAAGCGGAGGGCTGGCTCGACGGCGGACTTCTGGGGGAGGGAGTACCAGGAAGTTTGAGTGACGGCTTTCTTGCCGCGAACCCACCAGCGGAGTTGCCCTGTGTTGGCGAGGATGATACCGGGGGAGTCGGTGTTGTCTTTTGAGAAAGCTTGGGCCTGGATGTATTTCACCAGGTTGACTGCCGAGCCTTCGTTGATACCTCCTTTGGCACCGATGACACGGTGAGCAAAGGTGCCGACGTCTTGGGTGTGCTCGTAGAACAACACAACGACATGCTTCTTCTTGTCTAGGTCCTTGGAGACAAAAATGGGGAGGTGAGGCTGGTCAGCTGCGGCGCCAAGGGGTAGACGTATCTTCTCGAGACCAAGGGCGAGGAGACGATCGGAGATAATGTTGCGGATGGCCTCTGTGAACTTGGTCAGTATCCGTTCAGCTGAGGAGAACAAGGTGAGGAAGTAGTATGTCTGACCATGCATGGCCTCCCGCTGGACGCAGTTGTGACGTTCGTTCTTGGTAAGGAAAAACTTGAAGTAGGCCCTTGGATTCTCAATATTGCGGATCTCGTCTTCATCATTAATAAAGTATCTGAAGGTGATTAAGTCAATAAGAGCCGGATCGAGATGAGAAGAGGGGATGAAGACTCACCCAAGGCCCTTCAGATCGGTTGGGTAGATGGGGTCTTTGGGAAGACCTTTTTCAAGACGGCGAAACATATTGGCTGCCGATTTAGTGTTTCGATGTTTGCTGTGAGAGGAAGATGGAGATGGAGATCGGGGAAGAAGAGTAGAAGCGAAGAAGAAGAGAAGAAGAGAAGAAGAGAAGAAGAGAAGGAGAAGTGAGGACGAAGTGAGGAAGTAGTGAGGAAGTAGTGAGGAAGAAGTGATGAAGAAGAAGAGAAAGAAGCTTGAAGTTGTTGTAGTGTTGCAAAATGGTTGACGGCTTTAAATAGACGAGAGAGAGGGTGTTAAAGAGAGGAAGTGAATAAGCGGGAGTGAACGAAGAGCAAGGAGTTGTTTGTTGTCGTGGTTGTCGTGGTTGTTGGGTGAATGAAAGGGCGAGGAGTTGAAGAGATAATTCGAGGCGAGTCGACGAGAGATAGAATTCCAAGTCAGGTGCTTTTTGCAAATTCACCTATCAAATCAATAGCAGGAACAAATACATAGCAACAGTAAACAATCTCAACGCAGGAAACAATACAGGAGAGAAAACAGTGGAATTCGAGATAACTACATACCATACCATACATCGTATACCTCACCTCACCTCACCTCCATAGTAGATGCTGCGTTATGGACTTGGTTGCACAGGTGAGTGTTCCATTGTCATGCCCTCCCAAACGCCCCGGCTTTTTATATTGTACACTCGTGTCTCTCTTGGTTGGTTTGATTCCCATCTCATCTCATCTCACATAACACACATATTTCCACAGTCCAGCTTTTCCCCTTCCTGTCATCCATAGGCAAACCGCACCTCTCTCTTTTCGGGTCTACCTCTTCCAGTCTTCCCCTGCCCTTGTGCCCTTGCTCCCATCCTCCCCCCAAACTACATCCCCAGCTTGACAATCCTCTACCACGATGCCTTCTTCACACCCGGGAGCAAACCCGCAAGGGCGTTGACTCTAAAGTTATACTGCAAACCCATTAGTCCAGTCTCACGATGGCCTCCAACCCCCCGGTTCCCCCCCAAGCAACCAATCCGGTATCCGGTAACCAGTGCAAGCAAGCACCTACTCTGGACATCTTGAAATCCCGCAACACACCCCGCGCCTTTCCTCCCTCTATACACCGGTTGCGGATCTGCGTCGAGCGGGTATAACAGTGCATCTGCGACAGCTGGAGCTGTGCCTGCGCGCGCGTTCGGGCGGGGAGCGTCATATTGCGGATAATGTAGCGGAGGGCTTGTCTGTTTGTTTGCACTCATTGAGCCTCCATCCAAATCCTTGATGCGTTGTGTGTGGTATCTGAGATGTTAATTACCTCTCGGGCTCGTTCTCAGCAAACACTTTCCGCTTGGTATGGTCGCGCATAACCTTGATGTTGACGAAGCCGCCCAGGTCGAGCTTCTTCGAGCGGAACATGGACATGGTGGCGAGTAGCTTTCAGTGAGTATGAAGTTCGGCGTGAATTCGAATGGGGCGGGTTATGGTTGACGATGGTAGTGGTGATGAATGCCGTCAAGCAAAGTACTTTCTTTCCTTCGGTCCTCTACGGCGACCCTGGCCTTGGACGCAGCCTTGCATCAGCCTCGTCACGAGAACCCGTGCAAAGAGGTCTTCTCGATGGTTGGAGATTATTTTATACTGAGGGATTGCAATTTATATATATATACACAGCAGTGGCATCCAAACTGGATCTAAGCTGATACAGTTCAAATGAGTTATCAGTTCTACCGATGAACTGATCCCCTATGCCAACTACCTGGTCCGGTCACTCAAGACCCACCAAATTCACCTCGAAGAAAACATAATATTCTTTCCCCTTTTTACTATTGTTTACCTTCACTTCTCTTCACTTCACTTCACTTCTCTCCACCACCACCATAGTCCTTACCTCTGTCTCTCTCTCCATCATGGCACCCAAAAACCGCTCTCCAACCCCAACTCCAACTCCAACTCCATCGAAATCCTCTCCCAAGTCCTCTTCCAAATCCTCCAAATCCTCAAAGGCCTCCTCATCCTCATCCTCATCCTCATCCTCTTCCTGGACCAAAACTCTCACCACAAGCGCCATCCTCCTCGCTCTATTCTCAGCCATCTACTTTTATCTCGACTCGCAGCTTGAGCGGTTTTACATCTTCTCGCCAGCGCAACTGCATGACCTCTCTGTGCGGGCGATTGCCGCTCATGGCAACGACACCAAGAGCGTGGTGAGCTACATTGTGGGGGAGTTGAGCGAGAAGCTGCCGGGCGGGTACGTGAATCTGGACGAGGAATGGATTTTTAACAATGCCGGGGGTGCCATGGGGGCAATGTACATTATCCATGCTAGTAAGTCTTTACATTCCAGTTCAAAGCTCCTAAAAGAGTAAGGGGTTTTTTTTTTATTTTTTTATTTT